ATCCATCTAGCCCCGAGTCAGTAAACCCAGTCAGGTGCGTTTTAGGGTCTGACAGACACAGGGCAACTTCATTTTCCTGCACCAGATGGTACTTTGGTTCATTTTAGTCCAATGAGATGGGAATTAGAGGACAAAAATGATCAGCCAATAGGCTTCATGTTCCTCTTTATTTTTCCCTACTGCATGCAATGTCAAGTACCATCTAGGTCATATCTGCATGGTGGGATTCTTCAATGAGCCAAGCAATCCTGGGCCCCAGAGCTGGTGCTGATCCCATAGAGAGGAGGGTGGACACAGTGGATTTACTGGTACATCTCAGCTCAGTTTTTGCAAGGACAGTTCCAGCCTGTTCTAGCAAAAGTGTGTGTGTGTTTGTGTGTGTGTGTGCACACTGTAACCTTTTCCCCAAGGAAGAATTGTAGGTCCCTAGTAACATCTCATCATAACTTTAACTTAATCAGCTAAAGGGATGTGTTTCTCTCCAATTCACTGATAGACATGTTGTGAAAAGAGTAAGTATAAATGATTCCTAAGGAGGGCGTAGGGGATCTTTAAGCAGGGATTTTCTTCTCCCTTGATGCAGAAACATAGCTCCTTCTTTGCAAAGAGCCCATATTCTTGGCTTGTTGATCTCATTGGCTTCCCAAGAGAAGCATGAATCATTATGAGGTGGTGTCAGGGTGACTCCGGCCACATTGGGGGATTCCTCCGAAGTGGTTCCCACATGATGTGAAGATCTTAGGCTTTCTGGTTTTCTCATGTTACAGAGGAGAAAACACAGACCCTCAAGGTGGCAGCATGAGTCAACGTCACTGGGTGAGCAGGAGAGCCAGGACAGGCCCTGGGCAGGGCACCGAGCTCCTTTGGTGGGCTGCCTTTGACCACCCAGCAGGAAACTATCAGCAGCCCTGTTTGCTCGGAGTCCTCTGGGGAAGTTTGTGAGAAGAGTCCATGCAGCTCTACACAAAAGCACAGAGCAGTGCTCTTTAAAAGAAGTGTTGTTCTAAAATAAAGATCTTCTAGCAAATCACATCTCCAAAAGACAGAGTGTGGGTGGTAGGAAGAGGAAGTCAGACCGTTTTGCCCTGTTTTCACCATGAATCATTGGCATGACCTTGGAAAAGTCATTTTATCTCGGGGGACTTTGGTTTAGAAAATGAAGCAGTTGAACTCAATGAGGGGTTTTCTAATTGATCTGAGGGTGGAGCAACTCCTGAAATTCCACAACGGTGGAAAACCTTTCTTTGGAGCCCAGTCTATAAAACAGATAAAACAAGAGTGGCACTTGTTGAAGATCAGGTGAACACAGGGCCAGGAATACACTCACTCTGGACACCTTCCCAAACCACGCACTTCCCAGGGACCCACAGGACTCCACACAATGCAGAAGTGGCTGTGGCCTCCCCCACACACTGCCATATTTCTTACCAGGAGATGGCTCTCTTACTTCATTTCCAAACTGTACCACTCAGAGGAAGAGTTATTAATCAAACTAGTTTGTGAACTTGCTGAGGAAAAATGCCTTCTGAACTCAGCTGGAGGAAATCACCAGGCAAGGTGCCCTCTTTGACCTTGCCCTGTGGGTTATGGCAGTGGGCCACCAGCACCCATGGCTGGAGCCCCTCCTCCCATTCTGCCACTCTGCCTCCTGAGGAATGCACTCCTAGACCAGCATGGAAGATATGGATCTTCACTTCTCAACAACTTCCCAGTGAAACCCTTCTTAAATCAATGTAGCATGGCACTAAGGTCTGAATGTGTCCCCACTGCAATTCATATGCAAAATCCTAACCCCCCCAGGTGATGGTTTCAGGAGATGGGGCCTTTTGAGAGGTGGTGAGTCCCTGAGGACAGAGCCCTCATGAATGGAACTAGTACCTTTAGAAAAGAGACTGCAGAGAGCTAGCCAGTACCTACCACCATGTGCGGACACAGAGAAGGTGCCATCTATGAGGAAGAGGCCCTCACCAGACACTGCTAGTGTCTTGACCTTGGACTTCCCAGCCTCCAGAACGGTGAGAAACAAATGTTTGTTGTTTGCAAGCCACCTAGTTTATGGTATTTTTGTTATGGCAGCGCAAATGAAGAAGACATACATACAGGAAAACAGAACAGTTTTGAAAATACCTAAATGAGTGTTAAAATAAAACAGGTGTGAGAGATGGGAACGTTCTTCTTCAAAGTTTATGTCTTAGACTACATTGTAAGGAATTACAATCTCTTGCTCTATGGCCATTATCTGCTATTAGCATAAATGTATGCCCATCTATATGTATTATCTAAATTAGTTACATGCCAAATCAGCTACCTTGACTCACTCCGGCATGTCTGAACAGAACTGGGCTAGCTCCAAGCCCTGGTCCACGTCATTCCTTATTTGGAAACCCTCCTGACCTTCTCCTGACTAGCTTCCTCATTTTCCCTGTCTTCTTTCCCCATATCTATTAAGGAAATTTTCAAGTTTTTAGTCAATCTGGTCAAGCATAGACTGTGAGGTCCTGTTCTGGTCAATGGAAACTGGACAAGCAGTAAGGTGATTGCGTCAGGTTATGAAGGTTATAAATGTCCCTCTCTCTTTTGTTCAGGTGTGCTCTCATGGCCAGACTGCTGGCGAGTTGCCCCCTTCCTGCAGGAAGTAAACTAGCCTTGCTGAGTCATCCATTGTCTCGGTGTGGATTCTTCCCGATATTATAAACCGGTTTCCAACAATAGGAATGGTCACTTCCAAGATGGTTGACGACAGTGGTCATCTCCGACTAATCCTCCCCTTGAGAACATCTGGAAAAACTGCATAAAACACTTCAGAAGCTCTGCTGAGGGTGTCAGAGAGCTCCCAGGGCTGTGAGGACTTCAGGAACCAAAATCAAGAGAAGGGGATCACAGAGATGCATGCCTGACATTCAGGTCCACTTCTCCCCTGAGGCGTTTGCCAATTCAGAGTGTCTGTGGAGGGGCTGAGAAGCTGAGTAGAACTTTGGGCAGTCTTGTGGGGCGGGAGAAACACACCTGGGCTGGCAAGCACTCCAGACTTTCAGGTGGGCATCGGAGGGGTTACCCCAGGCAAAAGGCTGAACCAGAAATGAGCCCATCTTCACAAAGACTGACACGAGCTTTGAATCAGCTCATCTGGGCTGGACTAAGACAATCTGCCCCTGGCCTAAGTGCCTGCCAGAAGCAAAAGTAAATCCTCTGCAGGCAGGCAGATAACATCATCTAGAACCTCAGACTATCTCAGTGATGTTAGATTCAGAATATCTGGTTTTCAACACAGACAGATAGATGTGAGACCCAGTTTGGGAACTGGCCCTGGGGTGCGGTTCAGTGTATGATTACTCTGGGGAGGGCAGCTCCTTGCAGGGGTTCCATGTGAGGGCGCTAACAGGGCCAGCGCCGGTGCAAAGGATGGTGTGAGCTGCCCAGACGCTCTCTCATCTTCTCCAAACAGCAGCTCAGGTGGGGGCTGTTGTGATTGTTCCCATTTCACAGGTGGGAATACAGGCTGGGGGATTTGACGTATGTCTATCTCATTGCACAGCCTGCTTCCTCACCGGGGCTCTTATTCGTGAATGTTGTGGGGTGATGGGCTCCAGGCAGATACTCACTCTGTGATTTAGCTTCAGGGCCTGGCTTAAGACTTGCTGAAGGCGACACTCATGTATCGAACCTCACACGCAGACAGTTCCAGGGTTTAAGCCGCATAGAGGCCCACATCTGCAGGGACAGCCTGTTGCACCACTTGGCTGGAGCTCCGGTGTCAACTTGCAGATGGCTGCGAATGCTGAGTGAAGGTTGCCAGAACGTGGGACTGAATTCCTCGGCTCCTGGGAGGCCGGCGTGGAAGGGGAAGCTGGGACCATGGACTGGGCCCCTTGCAGTGGGTTTCTCCAGCAGGCCTCCAGGGAGTCCAGGAAGAAGCCTGGAGACCCGAGTAAGCTCTCTCGCGAAGTCACTGGGAACTGCTGGATGTTCTTAGCAAGCACTTCATTCAGAGCGTTTTGAATCGGGCTCCTCGGGCCCTGGAAGTTCTTTGGAGCAAGACAGGGTGGGGCAGGGGAAGGGGACAGGAGGGCTCGGCCCACATCAGCAGTGTTTCACCCTGATCTGCTTTTCACATTGATGTTACACATAAGATTTCATTGTTTAAAATGTTTAACATTTTAAAAAATTTAAACAAAGAGTCCAACTCAAAAAAAACAACAGTTGCATGGCCTCCCAGCACGAGGATGCTGAATTCCCCTCCTGTGTGCTGGCATCATACCTTGCCAGCATAAACGACAGCAGAGGACACAGACCTGGCCATGACTTCCCGGGTCATATAGACCAACCGCAGACCAGTGGCAGCCAGAGAAAAAGACACCCATCGCTACCTGCGGCTGTGCCCTGTCCTCTAGAGCAGGAGGCGGCTCTGAGGGGGAGAAGTGGAGAATTCAGCCAGGTGGGAGCAGAGAGAGATGCCAAAGGCCCAGAGGTGGGCATGTGCCCTGCTGGCAGGGGGAGGCTGAGTGAGTGGAGCACAATGGGCATGGGGAACTTGGCGAGGGCTGACACTGGTGAGGACCTATGGGAGCTGGTATAGAATCTGGAACAACCCAGCATGGGGCCAAGGGTATGGACTTGGGGTCAGACTGCCTGGGTCCAAATCTGGGCTCTGCCCCTCACTAGTCTGTGACTGGGCCAGAGCCTTCACCTCTCTGGGTCTCCATTTCCTCGCTGTAAAGTGGAATGTGTGATAATAGACATCTTACCTTCAGGGTTGTGTGGGGAGAAGGAGTGAACTGCAGAAAGCCTCTAGCAGGTGCACGCTGAGCCCTGAGTGCGGTCCTGCCAACTGAGGGGCTCTGCGCACCTGCAGGGCCTCGATGTGCTCTCAAGGCTGGTCGTGGTTGTGTGGGGATCACAGCAGTCTTGGCAAGAGTGGATGCGGGGGTGCGGGTGGGGCTGGTGCAGATCTCCAGGTGCAGGTGAGGAGGACTGGCCCGGGGTGGTGACGGGAGAGATGTTTGGGGCAAGAACAAATAGGACCTGCTGATGGATTCGGTATGGGGTGAGTGCAATGAAGGGCACTGACCCTCAGGTATGTGGCTTTGGAAACTGGAAGCCTGACGAGATTGTGCGTCCGAGAAGTTGCTGTGACTTGCCCAAGGGTGCACAAGGTGTAGGTGGCAGAGCTGAGGTTGTTCTGACAACAAGGTGCAGTTCTTGCCTCTGCACAAGCTGGCTTCCTGGGTTGTGGCTCTTCTGGGGAGAGGGACCTTGGAGAGCGCCTGCCTTCGGGCGGGGGGAGAATCTCCATTGGACAAGAAAGAATTTGGAGGTCAGGTGGTTTTCTGGAACCCACACAGCCAGGGAAGGGGAAGCAGGCAGGGGCTGCAGCCAGCTGCCTGGGGAGGGCAGGCACTCTCTGCTCCATGCCACACAGAAAGAGTCCCCAAGGCCTTTGTGAAAAGCTCTTCCTGGCCCTTCTGTGATAACCTGCTGTCCCCCACTGGGGTGGGGGGGAAGTGGTGGTGGAAGACTCTAAGGGGAGCAGCTCCTCTGTTCTTGGCAAAAGCTTGCCTCCGTGGTCAGCATGATGAAGCCATCAAGCCGCTGGGCAGGAAGGGTGGGAGCTGGCGTTTCAAGCCCCACTGCTCACCCGAGGGATGTGTGGAGTACTAACAGCTCACATGGGGGGCGGGGAGCAGCCTGGTCACCTGCAGGAGCTTGCGAGGCCCGAGGGGTGTCTGTGTGGCCAGGCACCTGCCCCCGCTTTTCATTTATAAAACAGAGCGTGACCTGCAGAACTCACCGGGCTTCTCTGTGACGCAGCGCCCGGCGGTGGGCAAGCAGGGTGACCCCGTCCTCCATCATGGTCTCTTACTGTGACGCCGACCCTCGGTCCCCACGCTCGGCTCGCTGTAGAACGTGTCTTCTCTTCAGGTTGTCATGACAATCTTCACTGAGAAGCTGTTTCTGGAGAGGGAGCATAAAAAGAAACAGGGAAATGCTTATTAAAGCCAGGCCTAGTGAATCTGAGGGTTTCAGTGGTGTCAATACATTCTCAGTGGCTTCTGAAGAAAAAGTGGAATTTCTGTCCTCTACACCAGCTGGCTGCCAGGAACTTTGCTGTTATACAATGCATGAAGCCCGGAATCCATTACATTATCCTGATTACAGTAATAATGATAACAACAATTAAATGTGAGCCTTCAAAGGCAGGTCCCCTCTGGCAGAATCCATTAAGGAGAATGGGTGTAATTATGCAGGCAGTGGAGGCACACGGCAATTTTGGGGGTGGTCAGTGTCATCCTGATCACAATCCCATTCTCTACCCCTTCGTCACTGGCCATCTGGCCTTCCAGTGTCTTCTCCCCAGATCTCAGCCATCTGCCCATCAATGTCTCACTAATTATTGCAAACAAATCTGTGTAAAATGAGAAGAAAGTAAAGGTTACCTTTCCCATTTTACAGATTAGTCATTGAGTTCTTGAACAGTGAGGAAACCCAGGGGAAGTGACCCCTAGGTGAATGTATCTATAAAAGGGCCAGACCCAGAGCTCTGTTTGGGCAAGCCAACATGAAAATTACAACAGCTTTCTGAAGTTTATGTTTTTCTGTATTTTTTCTCTCTGCACTAAACAAATGCGCATTCATTGTGATCAATCTGAAATACATAGAAAAGCCTAAAACAAAAATCATGCAAAATTCTAACATCTGGGATTAAACTTAATACTGAGGAATACCTCGTCCACCCAAGCTTGGCGGCTGACGTGAGTCAGGTCAGGAGGGGTTGAGAGGTACAGTTCTGTCTTCACGCCCTGCTCTTGGCAGGCTGCAGACTCCTGGAGCCGCATCCACACCCACGCAGCTCTAGAGCCTCCGCCTGTGTGGGGCTGTGTGTCAAACACTGGAACTTCTGGAGCTGCCTGGGCTTTGGCTCATTAGAATTCAGGGATGGTGGAGAAACTGCAGGTCTTTGCCAGAGAGCATCCAGTCTTTCCATTCATCCTTTGAACGTGCACTGAGGCATTGTGAGGATGGAGATGAGGTTGTGAGAAAAGAGAGATGTAAGGAAGCTGTATTCCTTATCCTTAAGCAGTTGCAGACTAGCTTGAGAAACAGACGCTTGAATGAACTAGTAAAACTGTGCTCAGCAATGCACTTCATGTTACAGATGAGCAGATGGGGGCAGAAATGCAACAAGGTTGTCAGGGTCTGAGTACAGCAAGTCCCCATTTCGAGATCAAATTTCAGGTGATAGACAGCCTCCAAGATAGCCCCCAATGACCCTTGATTTTTGCACCTCTTGCAGTCAACCAACCCACGCTGCATCAGGGTTGGTCTGTGAGGCAGGCTGATCTGGCAGAGCCGATGATATGTGACTTCCAAGGCGGGTCAGGAAAGGGATTGAGGCTTCTACCTTGTTTTGTGGATCACTTATTCAGAGGGAAGTCAGCCAATATATTCTGTGAATTCTCAAATAGCCCTGTCCAGAGGTTGACAATGAGAGCATAGAGCCTTCCTGCTAACAGCCAGCATCAGCTCATCAGCCACACAGTGGATGCTGGGAGACGATCCTCAGTCCTGATCAAACCTTCAGATGAGACCACAGCTCTGGCTGACATCTGACTGCAACTTTGTGAGAGACCCTGAGCCAGAGCCCCCAGCCCAGCCACTCCTGAATTTCTAGTCCACAGAAACTGTAAGAGATGTAAATAAATTATAATTGCTGTTTTCAAGCCAGGGAGTTTTAGGATGATTTGTATGTAGCATTCGACAATAAATGCAGTATCTTTTATTTCTCTCTTGGGAAGAAATCTATCCGCTCCCTCATACACAGTGTTCATTTTATGCCATATACCAGGCTAAGGGATTTGCATTGGTAGTCTGATTCAATCCTCACAACAGTAAGGTGGTAATGCCTACGAGGTGAGTATCAGTCTTACTTCCATCTGACAGATGAGGGTGTGAGGACGTAGAGAGGGGAAGGAGTTTGCTCAAGGTCAGGCAGCTATAAAGTGACAGTGCCTGCATTTGAACTCAACGCTGCCTGACCCCAGAGCCCAAGCTCTTAACCACAATACGTATTATGTTTTCTTGTAAATGTTCAACCCAGGAAATATTTGTTGATGTTATGTGCCACACACACTGCCAGAGCCTGGGATACACACCTGCCCCATGGTGCTGGGCGTGGTAGATGGTGGCCTCTCATCGAAAACCCCAGGCCCCCTTCCTCGTATCAGGCCCGAGAACTCACCCTGCCTCCTTTCTCCAGATTCCAGGCTGCTCACTCCTTGGGTCTCTTTCCCCCACCGCCTCCTGACAGGCAGCAAAGAGACACAGGGTCCCAGCTGTCCCCAAAGACACACCCACAGGCCCTGCCTACGGGAAGAGCTTTCTTGATCACTGCCAGAGGACATGCTGGGAGAATGAAAATAAACAACAGTGGAGAAGTTGTAAAGGTCGCAGAAGCCCATAGTGTCTCTGGAGTCCTGGTCCTTCACACAACATTTGCTACGAATCTGCCACGTGCCAGGTGCTGTTCTGGGCAGGTGGGGCAGATCCACGAAGAAAGCAGACAGTGGTCCCGCCTTGAGGGAGTTTAAATGGAGAGAGAGGCAGGCAGTCAGCAGTCAACTAAATTAAACAGGCTGCTTGGGGGAGAGCGCTGCAGAGCACGGGAAGGCAAGCAGAATGAGAGCAGCTGCACGTGCTGGTGAGGCGGGGCAGGCTGGGCATTGATCACGGGGCTCACACAGAGGGCGAAGGGGTTGGCAGGGTGACTCACTGCCCCTGCTTGCCCAGGACTGAGGGGCTTTGGGAGTTTTGATGTTAAAACCTGGAAAATCCTGGGCTGAGACAAAGCAGCCAGCCTAGAAGCTGGTCAAGCAGATACTGGGGAAGACTGCTCAAGGAAACAGCTAGATCAGCTCCGGGTGATTTTGACCCTGGGGGACATTCGGCAATATCCGGAGACATTTTTGCTTGTAAACCTTGGTGAGGGTGGGGGTTGCTACTGGCATCTGGCGGGCAGAGGTCAGGGATGCTGCTACATTTCCTACTGAGCACAGGAGAGCTTCTCCAACAAAGAATTAATCATTTGACCCCAAATGCCCACGTTGACGTATCTTGAGCTAGATTCTTGTCTTTCATTCCTGATTCACTTCTGAAATTTCATTTGCCTTTTGCTTTCCCTTTCCTCTCCTGGGGGGGGGAAGATTTCTCTGGTCACACCTGACAATAAAGGCTTTATCCCTCTTCCTTCAGAAAGCGTCTCCTCTCCTAGTACCTCAGCACAGGGTTGTGAATGCAAACCCAGACAGGCCAGCAGGGCCTTGCCTACTGGGTGCTATCCCCATCTCTCTGTGCGTCCATCCCAGCCACTGCCAGTTCATCTTTCGAGAGAAAATCCTGCAGGTTCCCTTGGTGCCTGGCCACTCAGCAGCCCCTCCAATCTCTCCAGGAGGCCACACGCACAAGCCATAGGCCTATGCAGTCTGTGCTGGATGGCAGCTCTTCAGCAGAAAGTTCTGGGAAGGTCTATGGACTCCAGCTCAGGTGATCAAGTTCTATGAAAGAGAGGGTGTATCGTACTGACCCGTCGTGCCACACCGGGAATTGGAGAAGTCAAGATATCTTCATAGTCTCTTAGAAAATAATTTGGGCTAAGACTTCCTGGAATCAGGCATTTGGAAATACTCCAGGACGCCCATGATTGACATTTGACACCCATTCCTTCTACCTCCGACCAACTCCCGTGCTGCTGGCAGAGAAGGGAACCTGGCGGTTAAGACATCCTAAGCCACTGGCAGCCCGAGTCCTTTGACTCATGGCCAATCTGTGAGGCAGAGCTGGATTTTGTAAAGCTCCAGTTTCCCTGGAATATTCTCAGATCAAGAGGGATTACAATGTACTCAGTTTGCAGATTTCGGATTCTCTGAGGTCTTTATATAAGTTCACTGAGGGCTGAGACCTTTTAGACTTTCATCGATGAAACCCAAGTTTTTGCCAAGTCTCTAATATGCCCAGCCAACAGTAGAGGCTTTGTAAAAACTTGCTGAACAGAGTATCATTAATAGATGGGAGCAGCCCCCTCCCAAGCCCTGCTGCAGGATGCTCTCTCAGGGCTTCTCATCAGGCATACAAGGCTCAGGGACGCTCATCCCTGCCTGACCTCCTCAGTGGCTGACTCCTCATCCCAGATCCTGATCTTGCTGTCCCTGCCTGAGCATGCAGCGCTTCCTGAAGTCCCTCTATTCTTCCCCATTTCTGAGTCACCATGGCTGAGCACAGCCCCTGGTACATAGTAGATACTCAATAAATATAGGTTGGTTGATTGAAGGAATAAAAGAGTGATGTAGGCTCCAGTCAAGCTCTCCCTGGCTCTATACCAAGAGCCAACCTGGATGGGCACAGGACATAGCTGTTCACTCGAACCTGGGGGATGGACTGTTGGATTCAGTCTATTTTGTACAAATCTGGCTTCCCAGGATGTGAAGCATGAGACTGGCTCCCTGGCTCACCACCCGCCTGCCTCTTCCCATTGCCAGGCAGAGAATCACCACTGGTGACAAATGCTGGACGGCCTGGCTGACAAGCGGTCCTGCGTGAGCAAGGCCCTGGCAGCTCCAAGTGCCAAGCTTTTGCTTCCTGTGCATTTGGGGCTGCACATTTGGAGAGGATCCACCACTTAACAGAGGGGAGCTGCTGAAGTGACAAGCAGCATCCTCACACCAGGAGAGCTTCCTGCCCAGAACGTATGGTGTGTGTCCAAGGGCTCTTAAGGTACCCGAAGCTGTGCCAGTTTGCAATAATTAAGCAGTAAGACCCAAGCGAATGGGTTTGCTGTGGCTGCATGACAGCCAGATGCCTGGGGTGTGATCTGAGGCTCAGCACGCGGCTCTCTGCCTCGCACTGAAAACTGTCTTGTTGAGACTGAAAATCGTCAGTGATGAGTGGAAGGAGCGACCATGCTGGCGATTTGGTGCTAATGTGGCAGCTCACTCCAAGGACTTCCACACATCATCTCCTCCATCCTGACAGCATCTCAGGAAGGCAGGAACTTGGCCCGACCTCTGCCTTCCACTATTCAGATGGACGCTCGCCACACGGAGCCTGGGCCTAAGCCAAATGCCTCTGCACAGGTGGACTTAATGTTCCTGATCCCCTGCCCAAAGCCCCATCTTTGCCCCATGTTTTTCAGGGCTATGAGTACCGGGCCCCAGGTGAGTCCTTCTCAGGTGTCATCTGCGTCAAGTCTCACAGTAGCTCTACTATGTAGGATTCTATTATCCCCATTCCACAGGTGAAAAAACTGAGGCTCAGAAGAGTGTCAAATCATTTACCCAGGCCACAGAGCCAGTCAACGCCGAGGAGAGAGTGCAGCCCAGCTCTGCTGATCTCAACTACCACAATTTCCTACCTCTTTTAAACAAACCAGAGTGGGTGTTATAACTGGGTGCTGTATTTCCTGTAACAAAGTACCCAGACTATAACTGGGTGGCTTCAAACAACAGAAATTTATGATCGCACAGCTCTGGGGAATGAAAGTCTCAAATCAAGGCTTCTGCAGGGCTGTGCTTTCTCGAGGGCTCGAGGGGAGAATCTCTTTCCTGCCCCTCTCTTGGCTGCAATCCTCACGGTTTCTTGACTCGCAGCTGGAAGGCTCCAATCCTCCACCTTCACAAGGCATTTGTGTGTGTGTGTCTTCACAAGGCCATCTTCTTATCAGGACATGAGTCACCCTGGACTAAAAGCCCACCCCACTCCGGGATGATCATACTTTAATTTAACTCATTATATCTGCAACAAACCTGTTTCCAAACAAGGTCACATTCAGAGGTAACGGGGATTAGGACTTCCACATATCCATTTTGGGGTGACACAGATGTAATCATAGTTTAAAATCAAGATGGAACATAAAACAAAGGGGAAATAACTTTGACTTACAGCTGGATGGATGTCACATAACCCCTAAGGGAAAGGCGTGAGAGGTGGTTTCTTCCCTGTACTTTGCAAGCACAAAGCCAGCCTGAGGCTCCCCGGGGCCCTCTAGGGGAGTCCTGCCCAGAATCAGGCCCTGGAAATTCTTCCCAAAGTTCCTCAGACCTCCCAGTTCTGCAATATCTGCTTGGGTTAAATCTGATGTATTGGCCATTAGCTGCCTCCCCAATGACCCCCTCCCCACGCCATCCCTTAAAAATAACCCAAAACAAAACAACACCCTTATGATGGCCAGAGTGGCTGTATAAACAGCAGTTTGAAGAGAAGAAAGGGGTGACACACAGAGATTTCTCAGGAGCAGAAGGGAGGCAGAGACAGGGTGACTTATTGTTGGTGATACAAATTCATCTTATTAAGGAGTAATGAATGGTTTTGCTTGGCAATTAATCACCAAAGCCGTCTCCCTGGAGCAAGAAGAAATGGGAAATGCCAGAATAAAGGCATGCCGGAGAGGCTGTGATGGCAGCAGCCCCAGCAGAGGCTCCTGATGGAGGCAGCACACTGAAATCAGTACAGGGGTCTTAAAAAAGACCCATGTTCAGCTACGTCCCAGACCGATGACAGCAGAATCTCTGGAGGGGGGGACTCAGGTATCTGTAGTTTTCTCAAGCTCCCGAGGTGATGCCAATGTGAGGCCCAGGTTGAGAACCACTGAGCCAGAGGGTCTTCCTCAGCCCCTTGACCTTCTCCACTGTGAGGCAGGGGCACCGTAAGAGCGGCCCGTCAGTCCCATCACCCTG